GATCCCGATTGTTCCCCCATCCCCCTGGTATGACAGTTTGATCCGATTGGTCCCCCATCACCCTGGTATGACTGTTTGATCCCGATTGTTTCACCTTGCTCCTGGTGTTACAGTTTCATCCCGATTGTTCCCCCATCCCCCTGGTATGACAGTTTGATTCGATTGTTTCCCCATCCCCCTTGTATGACAGTTTGATCCGATTGTTCCCCCATTCCCCTGGTATGACAGTTTGATCCGATTGTCCCCCCATCCCCCTGGTATGACAGTTTGATCCGATTGTACCCCATCACCCTGGTATGACAGTTTGATCCGATTGTTCCCCCATCACCCTGGTATGACTGTTTGATACCGATTGTTTCACATTGCTCCTGGTGTTACAGTTTGATCCGATTGTTCCCCCATCCCCCTGGTATGACAGTTTGATACGATTGTTTCCCCATCCCCCGTGTATGACAGTTTGATCCAATTGTTTCCCCATTCCCCTGGTATGACAGTTTGATCCGATTGTTCCCCCATTCCCCTGGTATGACAGTTTGATCCGATTCTTCCCCCATTCCCCTTGTATGACAGTTTGATCCGATTGTACCCCATCCCCCTGGAATGACAGTTTGATCCGATTGTCCCCCGATCCCCCTGGTATGACAGTTTGATCCCAATTGTTCCCCTATCCTCTCGGTATGACAGTTTGATCCGATTGTCCCCCCATCCCCCTGGTATGACAGTTTGATCCGATCGTCCCCCCATGCCCCTGGTATGACAGTTTGATCCGATTGTTCCCCCATTCCCCTGGTATGACAGTTGGATCCGATTGTACCCCATCCCCCTGGTATGACAGTTTGATCCGATTGTTCCCCCATCCCCCTGGTATGACAGTTTGATCCGATTGTACCCCATCCCCCTGGTATGACAGTTTGATCCGATTGTCCCCCCATCCCCCTTGTATGACAGTTTGATCCGATTGTCCCCCCATCCCCCTGGTATGACAGTTTGATCCCAATTGTTCCCCTATCCTCTTGGTATGACAGTTTGATCCGATTGTCCCCCCCCATCCCCCTGGTATGACAGTTTAATCCGATTGTTTCCCCATCCCCCTGGTATGACAGTTTGATCCGATTGTTTCACCTTGCTCCTGGTGTTACAGTTTGATCCCGATTGTTCCCCCATCCCCCTTGTATGACAGTTGATCCGATTGTTCCCCCATCCCCCTGGTATGACAGTTGATCCGATTGTTCCCCCATCCCCCTGGTATGACAGTTTGATCCGAATGTTCCCCCATCCCCCTGGTATGACTGTTTGATACCGATTGTTTCACCTTGCTCCTGGTGTTACAGTTTGATCCCGATTGTTCCCCCATCCCCCTGGTATGACAGTTTGATACGATTGTTTCCCCATCCCCCGTGTATGACAGTTTGATCCAATTGTTTCCCCATTCCCCTGGTATGACAGTTTGATCCGATTGTTCCCCCATTCCCCTGGTATGACAGTTTGATCCGAGTGTTCCCCCATTCCCCTTGTATGACAGTTTGATCCGATTGTACCCCATCCCCCTGGTATGACAGTTTGATCCGATTGTCCCCCCCCCCCCCCCATCCCCCTGGTATGACAGTTTGATCCCAATTGTTCCCCTATCCTCTTGGTATGACAGTTTGATCCGATTGTCCCCCCATCCCCCTGGTATGACAGTTTGATCCGATTGTCCCCCCATCCCCCTGGTATGACAGTTTGATCCGATTGTTCCCCCATCCCCCTGGTATGACAGTTTGATCCGATTGTCCCCCCATCCCCCTGGTATGACAGTTTGATCCGATTGTCCCCCCATCCCCCTGGTATGACAGTTTGATCCGATTGTTCCCCCATTCCCCTGGTATGACAGTTTGATCCGATTGTCCCCCCATCACCCTGGTATGACAGTTTGATCCGATTGTCCCCCCATCCCCCTGGTATGACAGTTTGATCCGATTGTACCCCATCCCCCTGGTAAAACAGTTTGATCCGATTGTTCCCCCATCCCCCTGGCATGATAGTTTGATCCGATTGTTTCCCCATCCCCCTTGTATGACAGTTTGATCCGATTGTCCCCCCATCCCCCTGGTATGACAGTTTGATCCGATTGTTCCCCCATCCCCCTGGTATGACAGTTTGATCCGAATGTTCCCCCATCCCCCTGGTATGACTGTTTGATCCCGATTGTTTCACCTTGCTCCTGGTGTTACAGGTTGATCCCGATTGTTCCCCCATCCCATTGGTATGACTGTTTGATCCGATTGTCCCCCCCATCCCCCTGGTATGACAGTTTGATCCGATTGTTTCCCCATCCCCCTTGTATGACAGTTTGATCCGATTGTCCCCTCATCCCCCTGGTATGACAGTTTGATCCGATTGTTCCCCCATCCCCCTGGTATGACAGTTTGATCCGAATGTTCCCCATCCCCCTGGTATGACAGTTTGATCCGATTGTTCCCCCATCCCCCTGGTATGACAGTTTGATCCGATTGTTCCCCCATCCCCCTGGTATGACAGTTTGATCCGATTGTTCCCCTATCACCCTGGTATGACAGTTTGATCCGAATGTTCCCCCATCCCCCTGGTATGACAGTTTGATCCGAATGTTCCCCCATCCCCCTGGTATGACAGTTTGATCCGATTGTTCCCCCATCCCCCTGGTATGACAGTTTGATCCGAATGTTCCCCCATCCCCCTGGTATGACTGTTTGATCCCGATTGTTTCACCTTGCTCCTGGTGTTACAGTTTGATCCCGATTGTTCCCCCATCCCATTGGTATGACTGTTTGATCCGATTGTTTCCCCATCCTCCTGGTATGACTGTTTGATCCCGATTGATTCATCTGGCACCTGGTGTTACAGTTTGATCCCGATTGTTCCCCCATCCCATTGGTATGACAGTTTGATCCGATTGTTTCCCCATCCCCCTGGTATGACTGTTTGATCCCAAAAGTTCCCATATTTTCTGGTATAGCCGTTTGATCTCTATGTTTTCCCATTCCCCTTATGAGTAAAACGTGTTGCAGAGCATGTACACCTGCACTCGTGATGTCCAAGCAGTGGTGCTAACATGTACACATGCCCTCGTGATGTCCAAGCAGTGGTGCTAACATGTACACCTGAACACGTGATGTCCATGGAGTGGTGGTATCATGTACACCTGAACACGTGATGTGCAGGCAGTGTTGCTAACATGTACACCTGAACACGTGATGTCCACGGAGTGGTGGTATCATGTACACCTGAACACGTGATGTCCACGCAGTGGTGCTAACATGTACACCTGAACACGTGATGACCACGCAGTGATTGTAACATGTACACCTGAACAACGTGATGTCCACGGAGTGGTGGTATCATGTTCACCTGAACACGTGATGTCCACGCAGTGGTGCTAACATGTACACCTGAACACGTGATGACCACGCAGTGATTGTAACATGTACACCTGAACATGTGATGTCCAAGCAGTGATTGTACACCTGAACACGTGATGTCCACGGAGTGGTGGTATCATGTACACCTGAACACGTGATGTTCAAGCAGTGGTGCTAACATGTATACCTGAACACGTGATGACCAAGCAGTGATTGTAACATGTACACCTGAACACGTGATGACCACGCAGTGATTGTAACATGTACACCTGAACACGTGATGACCAAGCAGTGATTGTAACATGTACACCTGAACACGTGATGTCCACGGAGGGTGGTATCATGTACACCTGAACACGTGATGTCCAAGCAGTGGTGCTAACATGTACACCTGAACACGTGATGTCCACGGAGTGGTGGTAACATGTACACCTGAACACGTGATGTCCACGCAGTGATTGTAACATGTACACCTGAACACGTGATGTCCACGCAGTGATTGTAACATGTACACCTGAACACGTGATGTCCACGCATTGATTGTAACATGTACACCTAAACACGTGATGTCCAAGCAGTGATTGTAACATGTACACCTGAACACATGATGTTCAAGCAGTGATTGTAACATGTACACCTGAACACATGATGACCAAGCAGTGATTGTAACATGTACACCTGAACATGTGATGTCCACACAGTGATTGTAACATGTACACCTGAACACGTGATGACCACACAGTGATTGTAACATGTACACCTGAACACGTGATGACCACGCAGTGATTGTAACATGTACACCTGAACACGTGATGTCCACGCAGTGATTGTAACATGTACACCTGAACACGTGATGTCCACGCAGTGATTGTAACATGTACACCTGAACACGTGATGTCCAAGCAGTGATTGTAACATGTACACCTGAACACATGATGTTCAAGCAGTGATTGTAACATGTACACCTGAACACATGATGACCAAGCAGTGATTGTAACATGTACACCTGAACACGTGATGACCACGCAGTGATTTTAATATGTACACCTGAACACGTGATGTCCACGGAGTGGTGGTAACATGTACACCTGAACACGTGATGACCAAACAGTGATTGTAACATGTACACCTGAACACGTGATGTTCAAGCAGTGATTGTAACATGTACACCTGAACACGTGATGACCACGCAGTGGTGGTAACATGTACACCTGAACACGTGATGTCCAAGCAGTGATTGTAACATGTACACCTGAACACGTGATGTCCACGGAGTGGTGGTATCATGTATACCTAAACACGTGATGTCCACGCAGTGATTGTAACATGTACACCTGAACACGTGATGTCCAGGCAGTGGTGGTATCATGTACACCTGAACACGTGATGTCCAAGCAGTGATTGTAACATGTACACCTGAACACGTGATGTCCAAGCAGTGATTGTAACATGTACACCTGAACACGTGATGTCCAAGCAGTGATTGTAACATGTACACCTGAACACGTGATGTCCAAGCAGTGATTGTAACATGTACATCTGAACACGTGATGACCACGCAGTGTCTGTTACAAGTACGCGTTAATGAGTTTCTGTCAAATACAAAATTTAAACTCTTGCTTCGGGGGCTGATTTATTATAATTCGGATTTTTGACAAATTGCAGAAGTAGCTACTCCCGTCGTTCCTGTCATCAGCAACTACAGGACGTCCTCGTCATCAGCAACTACAGGACGTCCTCGTCATCAGCAACTACAGGACGTCCTCGTCATCAGGGTAGGAACCTGAATTGGAAACACATGAAGTGAGTTAACTTGGAGGATAACCTATTAACTGTCGGCTGTCTTGGGTAATAACATCATATTTACAGTGAGGTGACACGGACGGTAACAGGTAATATATAGTTTGAACATTATAGGAGGGCAAAACATAATGAACTGACTTCAAGTGTAGCAGATAATTTATAGTTTGAACATAATAGGAGGGCAAAACATAATGAACTGACTTCAAGTGTAGCAGATAATATATAGTTTGAACATTATAGAAGCGGGAAATACTGAACTGACTTCAAGTGTAGCAGATAATTTATAGTCTGAACATAATAGGAGGGCAAAACATAATGAACTGACTTCAAGTGTAGCAGATAATATATAGTTTGAACATTATAGAAGCGGGAAATAGTGAACTGACTTCAAGTGTAGCAGATAATTTATAGTTTGAACATTATAGGAGGGCAAAACATAATGAACTGACTTCAAGTGTAGCAGATAATATAAAGTCTGATCATAATAGGAGGGCAAAACATGATGAACTGACTTCAAGTGTAGCAGATAATTTATAGTTTGAACATTATAGGAGGGCAAAACATAATGAACTGACTGCATGTGTAGCAGATAATTTATAGTTTGAACATAATAGGAGGGCAAAACATAATGAACTGACTTCAAGTGTAGCAGATAATTTATAGTTTGAACATTATAGAAGGGCAAAACATAATGAACTGACTGCATGTGTAGCAGATAATTTATAGTTTGAACATAATAGGAGGGCAAAACATAATGAACTGACTTCAAGTGTAGCAGATAATTTATAGTTTGAACATTATAGAAGGGCAAAACATAATGAACTGACTGCATGTGTAGCAGATAATTTATAGTCTGAACATAATAGGAGGGCAAAACATAATGAACTGGCTTCAAGTGTAGCAGATAATTTATAGTCTGAACATAATAGGAGGGCAAAACATAATGAACTGACTTCAAGTGTAGCAGATAATTTCTAGTTTGAACATTATAGGAGGGCAAAACATAATGAACTGACTGCATGTGTAGCAGATAATTTCTAGTTTGAACATAATAGGAGGGCAAAACATAATGAACTGACTGCATGTGTAGCAGATAATTTATAGTTTGAACATTATAGAAGGGCAAAACATAATGAACTGACTTCAAGTGTAGCAGATAATTTATAGTTTGAACATAATAGGAGGGCAAAACATAATGAACTGACTTCAAGTGTAGCAGATAATTTATAGTCTGAACATAATAGGAGGGCAAAACATAATGAACTGACTTCAATTGTAGCAGATAATTTATAGTTTGAACATAATAGGAGGGCAAAACATAATGAACTGACTGCATGTGTAGCAGATAATTTATAGTTTGAACATAATAGGAGGGCAAAACATAATGAACTGACTGCATGTGTAACAGATAATTTATAGTCTGAACATTATAGAAGGGCAAAACATAATGAACTGACTTCAATTGTAGCAGATAATATATAAACTGAGGGCCAAAAGAAACGTTACCAACGATATTTCTAGGAAAAAATATGACCAACACAATTTGAAGCAGCAATAACAATTGTATTGTAGAAATTCATCATTCAGAACAGTAAAATGGGAATTTACTAATTCAACAACAAAGTCCTTGACCTCCAACAGGGACATTTCTTAACATGGGGTCATTCGTCCAGTATTCGATCAAGAACATTGGTTACAACTTTAAGGTGACGACGGCCCAGACTGTTCAATACGGGATATGTAGCAATTCAATTTCCGAAGACGACGCCCCAGCTGGTCCCAGAGATGTTCTATGGGTGACAGATCTGGTGAACGAGCTGGCCACGGCAGGACAGTCACGTTGTTGGCGTTGAGGAAGTCTCTATTAATACGGGTTTTATTGGGTGTGGCGTTATCTTGTTGGAACACCGTCCTTTGTTGACGCTGGATGAAAGGAAGAACCACTGGCCGTAAGATATTGTCAATGTAGCGTTGTGCTGTCAGATTGCCTTCGATGATGACAAGTTCCGTCTTCTCGTCCCCGCAAATGCCGCCCCAGACCATCACACTTCCGCCCCCATAAGGTTCCACCTCCTGGACACAACAAGGAGCCGTACGTTCACCTTGTCGTCGATAAACTCGCGTCCGCCCATCAGGTTTGAAGAGTTGGAACCTGCTTTCGTCACTAAACAGCACTCGCCGCCATTCCCGTTGTTGCCATCGCTGAGTTTGCCTGCACCGCGTCAATCTGGCACGTCGAAGTTGACAGGTCAAGGTCATGCCCTTGAAAGGGCGATAAGCCCGGAGACCATAATGTCGTAGTCGTCTGGTCATTGTTTGTCTGCTGACCGGATGTCCTAAGCTGTTGGCAGCTGCTGACGTCACAGTAAGATATCTGTTCCTCAGATGAAGTACCCGTAAAAAGCCGTCATCCTGCGGGGTCGTGACCTTTGGTCTGCCACTCCGTGGTCTGTCTGCGGTTCTGCCAGTCTGTCGGAGACATGCAACCAGTCTGGCAATGGTCATCTTTGAGCAGTTCATGTTAATGGCAACGTCTCTCTGTGTCGCTCCCATCTGCAGCATACATATGGCTCTCTCCCTCTGGACAGCGGTCAGTTTTGGCATGTTCGTTGGTGTAAATCATCGCAACCAATGATAGGGAACAGATCCGTGCGTAATTTATACCCGGAAATTGCACGATAATTTTGGAAAGAATGTTTTAAAAAATTGCTGAAAAACTCCTAAAATCCGTAAAGCACGTGCAAAGAACGACAGAGAACATGAAGGCTGTATTCGTCAGATGTGTTTTTTACTGTTTTTGAACAGGTTGGCATCCTTGTTTCAAAGAGGCAAATCAGTTAATGTTGGTAACGTTTCTTTTGGCCCTCAGTTTAGTTTGAACATAATAGAAGCGGGACTTCAAGTGTAGCAGATAATATCTAGTTTGAACATAACAGGAAGGCAAGACATAATGTAAATTTGTTTGTTGTTTAAAGGCCGTACTCAGCAATATTCCCGTACATGACGGGGGTCTGTAAATATTAATGATAATAATTTGGGATACAATGAGATGCATCAACCAAATCAACGAGCCCTACCACCCGATCCCGTTAGTCGCCTCTTACGACAAGCAAAGTCGCCTTTTACGGCAAGCATGGGTTGCTAAAAACCTATACTACCCATCAAGACATAATGAACTGATTTGAAGTGAAGTAGGTGATAATTTAAACATGTCACATAAAGGTTTCAGCACTTACGCTTGTCGCCGTGTTTTAGGTCAGAGTCTACCTCCATCATTTGCCCATCATCTGTGTTTCTGCGCGCCAGGTCGCCAAAGTCGGGGTCAACGTGCTTCAGGTCGCCAAAGTCGGGGTCAACGTGCTTCAGGTCGCCAAGGTCCCGGTCAACGTGCTTCAGGTCGCCAAGGTCCCGGTCAACGTGCTTCAGGTCGCCAAGGTCCCGGTCAACGTGCTTCAGGTCGTCAAGGTCCCGGTCAACGTGCTTCAGGTCGCCAAGGTCCCGGTCAACGTGCTTCAGGTCGCCAAGGTCCCGGTCAACGTGCTTCAGGTCGGCAAGGTCCCGGTCTATGTGCAATGACAGTTACAGTTATCCGACCACGTATCCAACACGAGTCGACACTAATCAATACTTTTTCAAGTTATCCAATACTACAGACAATCATAGATAGATAGATAGAGAGATGATAGATAGATAGATAGATGATAGATGATAGATAGATAGACGATAACTATATAGATAGATGATAGATGACATATAGATAGATAGATAGATAGATAGATAGATAGATAGATAGATAGATAGCAAGAAAGAGGATAGATAGATGATTGATACAAAGATAGATAGATATATAGAAAGATGATAGACAGATGATAGATAGATAGATGATAGCTATATAGATAGATGATAGATAGATAGATAGAGAGGTGATATATAGGTGATAGATAATAGATAGATAGAAAGATAGACAGATAGATAGATAGATAGATGATAGAGAGATAGATGACAGATAAATTATAGATAGATAGATGATAGATGGTAGATGGATAGATAGATAGAAAGGAAGAATATACATAGATGATAGATGGATAGATGATAGAGAGATGGATGACATAGATGATAGATAGATTATAGATAGATAGATAGATAGATGATATATGATAGATGATAGATAGATAGATGATAGATAGATAGGTAGATAGAAAGGAAGAAGATACATAGATGATAGACAGGTAGATGATAGAGAGATGGATAACAGATAGATGATAGATAGATTATAGATAGATAGATAGATGATATATGATAGATGGATAGATAGATAGATGAGAGATAGATAGGTAGATAGAAAGGAAGAAGATAGATAGATGATAGATAGATAGATGATAGATAGATAGATAACTAGATAGGTAGACAGATTAGATGATATATGATAGATGGATAGATATATAGATGAGAGAGAGATAGATATATGATAGATAGATAGATCTATAAAATTAATGATAGATAGATAGATGATAGATAACTAGATAGGTAGACAGATAGATAGATAGTTAGATGATATGTGATAGATGGATAGATAGATGACAGATAGATAGATAGATAGATAGATAGATGATAGATAGATAGATAGGTCTATAAAATTAATGATAGATAGACGATAGATAGATAGATAGATGATAGATAGATAGATAGATGATAGATAGATATATAGATAGATAGATACATAGTTAGATAGATAGATAGATGATAGATAGATCTATAAAATTAATGATAGATAGATAGATGATAGATAGATGATAGATAGATAGATAGATAGATAGATAGATAGATAGATAGATAGATAGATAGATAGATAGATAGATAGATAGATAGATAGATAGATAGATAGATCTATAAAATTAATGATAGATAGATAGATAGATTGTATGATAAATACATTATTCCCATGTAAAAGAAAGTAGAGAATTCCTATTGTTATTTGCTGAGTTCCCCTAACACAGTTCCATCAATTGTAGATGAGAGAGATAGATAGATGACAGATAGATGATAGATAGATAGATCTATAAAATTAATGATAGATAGATGATAGATAGATAGATAACTAGATAGATAGACAGATAGATAGATAGATGATAGATAGATACATAGTTCGATAGATAGATAGATGATAGATAGATCTATAAAATTAATGATAGATAGATAGATGATAGATAGATAACCAGATAGATAGACAGATAGATAGATAGATGATAGATAGATAGATGATAGATAGATAGATAGATAGATAGATAGATAGATAGATAGATAGATAGATGATAGATAGATAGATAACTAGATAGATAGACAGATAGATAGATAGATGATAGATAGATACATAGTTCGATAGATAGATAGATGATAGATAGATCTATAAAATTAATGATAGATAGATAGATGATAGATAGATAACCAGATAGATAGACAGATAGATAGATAGATGATAGATAGATAACCAGATAGATAGATAGATAGATAGATAGATAGATAGATAGATAGATAGATAGATAGATAGATAGAAAGAAAGAAAGAAAGATAGATAGATAGATAGATAGATAGATAGATAGATAGATAGATAGATAGATAGATAGATAGATTGATAGATAGATCTATAAAATTAATGATAGATAGATAGATAGATTGTAAGATAAATACATTATTCCCATGTAAAAGAAAGTAGAGAATTCCTATTGTTATTTGCTGAGTTCCCCTAACACAGTTCCATCAATTGTAGTTGCACTGACCTGTGAGCCCAAACTTCAGTCTTATACGAGCCTTGCGTCGTTCTCCTGCTGCTTCATGGCACAACAACATCACGACGATGACCAGAACTAGCAACACTTTCTGTAAACATATGCATCAACAAGTTGTGTAATACATCATGTATCTATGGATGATAGAGCATTAATGTTAATAATCATGGGATCTCTTCCAGAAAAAACCTGTAGGATCCCGGCATCCAACTTTTGTCCCAATAGCACAAGTACCCACTACTGCCAGTACCCATGTCTGTAGTGTCAATAGTACCCATGTCTGTAGTGTCACAAGTACCCATGTCTGTGGTGTCACAAGTACCCATGTCTGTAGTGTCAATAGTACCCATGTCTGTAGTGTCACAAGTACCCATGTCTGTAGTGTCACAAGTACCCATGTCTGTAGTGTCACAAGTAACCATGTCTGTAGTGTCAATAGTACCCATGTCTGTAGTGTCACAAGTACCTATGCCTGAAGTGTCAATAGTACCCATGTCTGTAGTGTCAATAGTACCCATGTCTTTAGTGTCACAAGTACCCATGTCTGTAGTGTCACAAGTACCCATGTCTGTAGTGTCACAAGTACCCATGTCTGTAGTGTCACAAGTACCCATGTCTGTAGTGTCACAAGTACCCATGTCTGTAGTGTCACAAGTACCCATGTCTGTAGTGTCAATAGTACCCATGTCTGTAGTGTCACAAGTACCCATGTCTGTAGTGTCACAAGTACCTATGCCTGTACTGTCAATAGTACCCATGTCTGTAGTGTCAATAGTACCCATGTCCGTAGTGTCACAAGTACCCATGTCTGTACTGTCACAAGTACCCATGTCTGTAGTGTCACAAGTACCCATGACTGTAGTGTCACAAGTACCCATGTCTGTAGTGTCACAAGTACCTATGCCTGTAGTGTCAATAGTACCCATGTCTGTAGTGTCAATAGTATCCATGTCTTTAGTGTCACAAGTACCCATGTCTGTAGTGTCACAAGTACCCATGTCTGTAGTGTCACAAGTACCCATGTCTGTAGTGTCAATAGTACCCATGTCTTTAGTGTCACAAGTACCCATGTCTGTAGTGTCACAAGTACCCATGTCTGTAGTGTCAATAGTACCCATGTCTGTAGTGTCACAAGTACCCATGTCTGTGGTGTCACAAGTACCCATGTCAGTAGTGTCACAAGTACCCATGTCTGCAGTGTCACAAGTACCCATATCTGTAGTGTCAATAGTACCCATGTCTGTAGTGTCACAAGTACCCATGTCTGTAGTGTCACAAGTACCTATGCCTGTAGTGTCACAAGTACCCATCTCTGTAGTGTCACAAGTACCCCTGTCTCTAGTGTCACAAGTACCCATGTCTGTAGTGTTAGTAATACCCATGTCTGTAGTGTCACAAGTACCCATGTCTTTAGTGTCACAAGTACCCATGTCTGTAGTGTCAGTAGTACCCATGTCTGTAGTGTCACAAGTACCCATGTCTGTTGTGTCACAAGTACCCATGCCTGAAGTGTCAATAGTACCCATGTATGTAGTGTCACAAGTACCCATGTCTGTAGTGTCACAAGTACCCATGTCTGTAGTGTCAATAGTACCCATGTCTGAAGTGTCACAAGTACCCATGTTTGTAGTGTCATGAGTACCCATGCCTGTAGTGTCACCAGTACCCATCTCTGTAGTGTCAATAGTACCCCTGTCTGTAGTGCCACAAGTACCCATGTCTGTAGTGTCACCAGTACCCATGTCTGTAGTGTCACAAGTACCCATGTCTGTAGCGTCAATACTACCGATGTCTGTGGTGTCACAAGTACCCATGTCTGTAGCGTCAATAGTACCCATGTCTGTAGCGTCAATAGTACCCATGTCTTAAGTGTCACAATTACCCATGTCTTAAGTTTCACAAGTACCCATGTCTGTAGTGTCACAAGTACCCATGTCTGTAGTGTCACCAGTACCCATGTCTGTAGTGTCACAAGTACCCATGTCTGTAGCGTCAATACTACCGATGTCTGTAGTGTCACAAGTACCCATGTCTGTATCGTCAATAGTACCCAAGTCTGTAGCGTCAATATTACCCATGACTTTAGTGTCACAAGTACCCATGTCCGTAGTGTCACAAGTACCCATGTCTGTACTGTCAATAGTACACATGTGTTAAGTGTCAAAAGTACCCATGTCTGTAGTGTCACAAGTACCCATGTCTGTAGTGTCACAAGTAACCATGTCTGTAGTGTCACAAGTACCCATGTCTGTAGTGTCACAAGTAGTCATGTCTGTAGTGTCACAAGTACCCATGTCTGAAGTATGACAAGTACCCATGTCTGTAGCATCAATAGTACCCATGTCTGTAGGGTCACAAGTACCCATGTCTGTAGCGTCAATAGTACCCATGTCTGTATTGTCAATAGTACCCATGTCTGTAGCGTCACAAGTACCCATGTATGTAGCGTCAATAGTACCCATGTATGTAGTGTCACAAGTACCCATGTCTGTAGCGTCAATAGTACCCATGTCCGTAGTGTCACAAGTACCCATGTCTGTAGCGTCAATAGTACCCATGTCTGTAGTGTCACAAGTAACCATGTCTTAAGTGTCACAAGTACCCATGTCTAAAGTGTCACAACTACCCATGTCTGTAGTGTCACAAGTACCCGTGTCTGTAGTGTCACAAGTACCCATGTCTGAAGTGTCACAAGTACCCATGTCTGTAGTGTCACCAGTACCCATGTCTGTAGTGTCACAAGTACCCATGTCTGTAGCGTCAATAGTACCCATGTCTGTAGTGTCACAAGTGCCCATGTCTGTAGCGTCACAAGTACCCATGTATGTAGTGTCACAAGTACCCATGTCTGTAGTGTCACAAGTACCCATGTCTGTAGTGTCAATAGTACACATGTCTGTAGTGTCAATAGTACCCATGTCTTTAGTGTCACACGTACCCATGTCTGTAGTGTCACAAGTACCCATGTCTGTAGTGTCAATAGTACCCATGTCTTAAGTGCCACAACTACCCATGTCTGTAGTGTCACAAGTACCCATGTCTGTAGTGTCACAAGTAACCATGTCTGTTGTGTCACAAGTACCCATGTCTGTAGTGTCACAAGTACCCATGTCTTTAGTATCACAAGTACCCATGTCTTTAATGTCACAAGTACCCATGTCTGTAGTGTCGTAAGTACCCATGTCTGTAGTGTCACAAGTACCCATGTCTGTAGTGTCACCAGTACCCATGTCTGTAGTGTCACAAGTACCCATGTCTGTAGCGTCAATAGTACCCATGTCTGTAGTGTCACAAGAACCCATGTCTGTAGTGTCACAAGTACCCATGTCTGTTCCGTCAATAGTACCCATGTCTCTATTGTCAATAGTACCCATGTCTTTAGTGTCACAAGTACCCATGTCTGTAGTGTCACAAGTACCCATGTTTGTAGTGTCAATAGTACTCATGTCTTAAGTGTCAGAAGTACCCATGTTTGTAGTGTCAATAGTACTCATGTCTTAAGTGTCACAAGTACCCATGTCTGTAGTGTCACAAGTACCCATGTCTGTAGTGTCACAAGTACCCATGTCTGTAGTGTCAGTAGTACCCCTGTCTGTAGTGTCACAAGTACCAATGTCTGTAGTGTCACAAGTACCCATGCCTGTAGTGTCACAAGTACCCATGTCTGTAGTGTCAATAGTACCCCTGTCTGTAGTGTCACAAGTACCCATGTCTGTAGTGTCAATAGTACCCATGTCTAAAGTGTCACAAGTACCCATGTCTGTAGTGTCACAAGTACCCATGTCTGTAGTGTCACAAGTACCCATGTCTGAAGTATCACAAGTACCTATGTCTGTAGCGTCAATAGTACACATGTCTGTGGTGTCACAAGTACCCATGTCTGTAGCGTCAATAGTACCCATGTCTGTATTGTCAATATTACCCATGTCTGTAGCGTCACAAGTACCCATGTATGTAGCGTCAATAGTACCCATGTCTGTAGTGTCACAAGTACCCATGTCTGTAGCGTCAATAGTACCCATGTCTGTATTGTCAATAGTACCCATGTCTTCATTGTCACAAGTACCCTTGTCTGTAGTGTCAATAGTACCCATGTCTTAAATGTCAAAAGTACCCATGTCTGTAGATCTATAAAATTAATGATAGATAGATAGATGATAGATAGATAACTAGATAGGTAGACATATAGATAGATAGTTAGATGAAATATGATAGATGGATAGATAGATAGATGAGAGAGAGATAGATAGATGATAGAGAGATAGATCTATAAAATTAATGATAGATAGATAGATGTCTGTAGTGTCAATAGTACCCATGTCTGTAGTGTCACAAGTACCCATGTCTGTAGCGTCAATAGTACCCATGTCTGTATTGTCAATAGTACCAATGTCTGTAGTGTCACAAGTACCCATGTCTCTAGTGTCAATAGTACTCATGTCTTAAGTGTCAATAATACCCATGTCTGTAGTGTCAATAATACCCATGTCTGTAGTGTCACAAGTACCCATGTCTGTAGTGTCAATAGTACCCATGTCTTACGTGTCAAAAGTACCCATGTCTGTAGTGTCAAAAGTACCCATGTCTGTAGTGTCACAAGTACCCATGTCTTAAGTGTCAATAGTACCCATGTCTGTAGTGTCACAAGTACCAATGTCTGTAGCGTCACAAGTACCCATGTCTGTTGCGTCAACAGTACCCATGTCTGTTTTGTCAATAGCACCCATGTCTTTAGTGTCACAAGTACCCATGTCTGTAGTGTCAATAATACCCATTTCTGTAGTGTCACAAGTACCCATGTCTGTAGTGTCACCAGTACCCATGTCTTTGGTGTCACAAGTACTCATGTCTCTAGTGTTACAAGTAACCGTGTCTTAAGTATCACTATCGCAAGTACCCATGTCTGTAGTAGCACCAGTGCCCATGTCTTTAGTGTCACCAGTGCCGATGTCTTTGGTGTCACAAGGACCCATGCCTTTAATGTCACTACCGCCAGTACCCATGTCTTTAGTGTCACAAGTACCCACAATCTCATTAAAATCAGATCTTAGTTCTCGTTACCGTTAAACAAAGATCTGCCAGTAGGGGTCA